ACTGGCGAATCTCTCAGGTCTACGAGCGGGTCTCCTTTTGACAGCCCTTGGAGGTCAATATGGGCGCTGCCAAATGGGGGGCATACTTGACCCGGGATAGAACTGGAGGGGGAGGAGGAGGAGGAGGAGGAGGAGGAGGAGGAGGAGGAGGAGGAGGAGGAGGAGGAGGAGGAGGAGGAGGGTAAGGAGGATCAGGAGGGAGTGGCGAGATGGCAGGGAGGGGAAGGGAAGGGGGAAAGAGGAGGATGGAGGGGCCAGACGGAATGCACGGGTGTTGCGACAGAAGCGACGGAACGTGGCCTTCAGGTGGAGTTCGACTGGTTCGTCCCCATCAGAGGCGGGCCGCTGTACAAGATTAGCATGGTCGCCAACTTTGTTCTTCCGGACTTTTTCCTCTGTCCATGGTGATTTTTTGTGAAGTGCCGTCAACGCTCATATTCGTCACCCATCCCTGCCCCATTCATCGCCATCTCCAGTGGCTGCTTTCTTTGATGTCCTGGCTGCCCGCCCCGTGGTCCGCACTTCTCGGCGTGCATCCTGCGTTCTCGAGGTCATGTCTCCCGGACGTGTCCCTCCCGTCTTTAACAACGTATCTTGAAGGTGAGCAATATTGCGAAGTTTCGCCGCCTCGTGCTCTCCCTCCTCTTCATCCTGCCGCGGCCTCCTTCCACGTCCACGTCTCCGTCTTCTGCATCTAGGGGGCCAGGTCCCCGCCCGTGCCCCCGTCCACATCCTCGTTCCCGTCCATCCCAGTTTTTGTTTGTTTGTTTGTGAATTTGTTTGGAGGGGGGGGGGCTTCTGCTCCTTCGGCAGCCCCTTCCTTACACTCGAGCATGCAGTGAAGGATGCCTTGCCCCTGCAAGGGTGCCCTTCCGTCCTTGACTCTGCGGCCCGCCCCTGTGCAATCTCGGGCAGGGTCCTGCCCGCAAGCTTCCGCCAGCGAGACCCCTCTCCCCTCTTCGTCATCACTCCCTCCTCCGCCCCCGGTGGAGGGCGTGGGCCTCCCCTTGAGCCAGAGCGCTGAGCGTATCACCGTCCTGCCCCCGTTCGTACCCTTTACCCTTCGCCCTCTTTCGTGCAGGGGGGGAGGGCGCCAGGACTTCCTGATCTCCTCTGGCTCGGTCGACTTCGGCCGCGTGCTGGTGGGCACGCAGAAGCGCGTGACACTGGAGTTCAGGAGCCGTGGCACGCCTCCGGTGCAGTCGCAGGGTGGCGTGTGGGGGTCGCACCTCCTTCCCTGGTCCTCCCACCATCTTGGTCCAATCGCAATCTTGTCCTCCTGTCGTTCTGTTCTTCCCATATCCTCCTACCGTCTACCCTCCTTCTGTCCTTCCTATCCTCCTCCGATCCTCCAAATTGTTGACGCTTCGTGTATCCCCACCAGCCCACACAGCAACGATGCCCAGGGGAGTTGAGGTGATCAGGAAAGTGGGGGAGCATGCCGAAGAACAAAGGGCGGGGGAAACCGTTCGATACCCCAAGAGGGGGAGGATGGTGGAGGAGAAGGAATATGATGAGAAGGAAGAGGAGGAGGAGGAGGAGGAGGAGGAGGAGGAGGAGGAGGAGGAGGAGGTGGAGGAGGAGGAGGAGGAGGAGGAGGATGGCGAGGAGGAGGAGAGGGGAGGAGGAGGAGGAGGAGGAGGAGGAGGAGGAGGGGAGGGAGGAGGAGGAGGAGAGGAGGAGGGAGGAGGAGGAGGAGGAGGAGGAGGAGGAGGAGGAGGAGGAGGGAGGAGGAGGAGGAGGAGGAGGAGGAGGAGGAGGAGGAGGAGGAGGAGGAGGAGGAGAAGGGGCATCTTGGCGAGCACAGTGCCGTCTTTGAGCGATTTAGAAGCCTCGTGCACTCTTGAGGCCTTTTGGGGGTCTCTTGCGGGCTTCTTGGAGGCTTCTTGGACGCCTCTTGGAGGCGTCTGGGTGCCTCTTGGGGCCTTCTTGGGGCGCTCTTGAGAGCTTGAGGGGCGCTCTTGAAGCCGTATTGGAGGACATCGATCAAACAAGAGGGGCGCGTCAATTAGCCTCCCCCCTCGGCAGGCCCAACAGTTGCCTCTTGGTGCGCTCTTGGGGCGCTCTTGGAGCGCTCTTGGGCGCTGTTGGGGCCGTTTTGTCTTGGGGCTCTGTTGGACCTCTTCTGGGGTCCTCTTGAGCCATCTTGGGGCCATCTTGAGGCCTCAGATGGCCTTCGGAAGCGAAAAGGCGAGACAGCACAACTCATTGATTATCCTGAGGTTTTTGAAGGATTTTGGCCTCTTGGGGAACTTCTCGGAGGTCTCGGAGGCCTCCGTGGGCCGTCTTGGAGCGTTCTTGGGGCTTCTTGGAGCATCTTGGAAGCCATCTTGAGGCATCATGCGCTATCTTGAGCCATCTTGGAGGTCATCTTGGGCTTTCCGAGGCCCTCTTGGAGCCGTCTTGGGCCATCTTGGACGCTCCAGCCACCCGCGGCCCCCCCCGTCCAGTTCCCAGGGGAGGGGGTAGAGGGGAGGAGTAAACCCCTCGTCGAGGGGGAAGAAGGAGGTTGGAAGAGGAAACTCCCTAGACCACCTACGCCCTCGGTGCCGCACGCTGTCCGCTGGCATCGTCCCGAGCTTGTCCGAGCACGCACGCCCCCGCGGAGGGGCGCGACACTCGCCGCCCTCTCGCGGGGTGCAGCGCATCGCCGGGGCCACCGCCGCGAGGCGCTGCTGCAGGCTTCGCGATCGACGGGCGGTGGTCTGATTTTCGGGGGATGTCTGATCTGGGCTGCTTGGTCTAAAGCTGATCGTCTGGGAGGGTTGCGGCCCTGGCCCCAGCCGTCGTCCCATGTATTCGTGGAAGGTTTTTCGCGGTCCGAGGAGCTCGTGCCGTGTTTCGTGTTGCATTCTCTATGAGCGGTGGCCTCGTTTCCTTTTTTCCGTTTTCGTTTGCACCAGTTTCGTTTTAGACGGTCGTTGTACAACGGTCGGGTTCGTTTTTCGTTCTAAACGCCAGCGCGTTTTAAACATCGTTGTGCTCGGGCCTTGTTTTCATGACGACGTCTTGAGGGAACAACGGTTCCTGGCTGTGTTTTATTTTCCCTGTGGTGCTCACACCAGTGCAGTCGGACCGAGGTCTAGGATCGAGGTTTGTCCGGGGTTGGTATCCTAATGTTCTTCGTGCCTGGTGAATATGATGCTCCCTGGGGGAGGGTACCATCGAATGATCTTAGGGTTTGGGTTGTTCAGGCTGGCCGAGGGCCTCATGCTCTTGAAGGGTGTTCTTCTGGCCGAGGTCCGATTGTGCTTATCTGCTGTCGGGGCCGCGCGGTGGAGGAGCGGCCGCGCGGGCGCGGCGAGCAGGCCTGGCGGAGCACGCGTGAGGCGTGCTGCTGGCACGGCCGGGTCGAGGTACAAGACCGAGGTCGGTTCGGAGAGGGCACCCGAATGGTACGCCAGCAAGTCATGGGAGCTTGGTGTACCCTATGGATTCCGTCTTTCGCGTCGGCTAGCGTCGATATGCGTCGATTTAACGTCGACTAGCGTCGACCAGCGTCGATTCGCAAGAGCCGACAAGATGGTATGGGAGGCTCCCATGAGTTGCCACCGAAATGTTCTTCGTGTTTGTTGGAAGCTCTGGTGCGTCCTGGGGGAGAGTACCCTCGATTGATCTTGTGGCTTGGGGTGTTTTTGGCTGGCACAGGGCCTCCTGTTCTTGAAGGACATTCTTCTGGCCTAGGTCCGGTATGCAGCGGACGCTGCGCCCGATTGCGCCCCCAAACAAGTTGATGGCTTCGGAGGCCTAGACGTCGGCACCAATGACAGCTTCTCAGATGAGGAAACCGTGCCCATACCGCTACCCTCGCCTCGGGGGCCTCCTGGGAGGCCTTCGTCGCCACCGCTGGACTCGCTTCGAAATCCTGGTCAGAACGCGCCCCTGGAGAGGTCCGGGGAGTAGCGGTATCGTTACCTTTCGGTTGCCCCCCTAGAGGTTGGCACCCAACACCAGTTCCGACGAGCGAACAGCACACACCCGTACCCATCGGGGGGTCGGAGGGAGTGGGGCTGGCTATGGAGTACGGGTGCGGGTTGACGGACCCTGGGGGAGGCTCCCGTCCGAGCAGGCGCCCCCGCCCCTGTGTGTATGTGTGTGTGTGTGTGTGTGTGTGTGCTGTTCGTTTGTCAGGTATCGGCGGTTGCCTCCACCGAGGGGTTGTCTCCACCGAGGGGAGGCGAACCCGATCTCGGTGCCGGTGGTCCTACTCGGGCTTCTCGGGTGGCCGAGAGGTTACCGGCGGCACCAACACCCGGCATTGTCTTCCCCCGGCGGAGGCCACCAACGCAGTGCGAGTTGTTCACTAGGCGTGGCGGGGGGAGTAATGGGTTGTCTCCATCGCCGCGTCGCGTGGCGGGTGGATAGCGTGCGGGGGCGGGCTCAATGCGCGTCGGGGGGCCAGTGTCGGCCGTCGAGTGGCGTAGAGGTGTGCGTATTGAGCAGCTCGGAGCATCGCCGGCGCAGGATCTGCGACCATCAGCGAGCCCTACCCCTGCGAGTACAAACGGCGCTGGGCATCGGGCACCCCCGCCGGGGTTCACTCGGCAACAGACGTCCTCCAAACTCTGGAGCCCGGTGGGCTTTCCAGAAATATAGTATGCAGGGAGGGGCTTCGCGCGTGGCTCCCTACAGGAACCACAAGACCGTCGCGGTGGACTGGTCCTTCCAGGAGCCGAGGGGCCCCGCGAACAAGAAGCTGCCCTGGGACCAGGCGGGGCCGCGCGCGCTGCCGACACCCCACTGGTGCCGCCCATTGGCCGATCCGGTGGTCGCTTGGCGCGGTCCAGCTCAGGGCAGTCCCCCAGCGAGGCCGTGCGGGAGCACCAGGTTGATGGGCCCTTTTTCCACCACCACGACCATAGGTAGGAGGAGGAGGAGGAGGAGGAGGAGGAGGAGGAGGAGGAGGAGGAGGAGGAGGAGGAGGACCTCCTCATCCCCCCTTCTCCCCCGCCCTAGGCTCGGCCGACTACACGCAGGAGTGACCTTTCGCCGGAGTGTCCCCCTACAGGAGGAGTATCCCAGAATAGTCACAAAGTAGTCTGGGGACGCTTTTCGTGGATCTGCGCTGGGCCCCCCTCGGCAGTGCCTCTGACGCCGTGGGGGGGCGGAGACCAGCGCCCGTTCCTGCCGATTTTCAGCAGGATTCGCTGTCGGAGTCGCCGCGACATTTCTCCACTTGAGACACAGGGTCGCCTGCCCGACAGCGGCCGTTCTCGGTTTGGGTTAAAGGATTGTTGCTGTTTGACATCGTGTTTTGCTTGATCATGTCAGGCGTACCAAGAGGAGGAGCAGGATGAGGATGAGGAGGAGTAGAAGGAGGAGGATGACGACGATACTGAGGCTGGCCGTCTTGGGAGCCTCTTGGGGCATTTGCGCGTATGTTTGTGGGGTTCTTGGGTTCTCTTTGAGCCCACTTGGACGTCCCGTGGGTGGTTTGGGGGCCCTGCCCTCTTGGGCGCTTTTGAGTCTCTTCTGTGGCCTCTTGGGGGCTCGCCTGTGGTCTTGGGGGGCCATGGGGTTCGAGGAGCGGGGGGAGGGTGCCGAATTGAGGCTCCCTTTAGCTGTCTCACGGACCCAGAATACTGCCGAATGGTGTCCTTGTCCAGAATCCTTGACGCTTCGCGCATCTTCACCAGGCCATCCAGAAACGATGGCCAGGCGAGCTGCCGTTCTCCTCCTTCTTCTTCTTCTTTGCGGTGTCTTGGAGCTCTCTTCGGGCTATGCTCGAGCCTTTTTCAAGACCCGCGAGGCCCTGTGAGGGGCAGTCTTGGAGCTCCCTTGGAGGCGTTCAGGGCCCTCTTGCGTAAGTCTTGGGGCCATCCTGGAGGCTACCAGTTAAACAGAATGGCGGTTCCATTTGCAGTCGGACCGAGGTATACAATCATGGTCGGTTCCGGGACGGTGTTCTACTGTACTTCGTGCTTGTTGGATGCTCTTGTACATCTTGGGGGAGGATACCCTGGGATGTTCTGTTTGTCTGGGACGGTGGGGGGCCTCATGTTTTTGGGGGATGTTCTTCTGGCCTGGGTCTGACTGGACGTATTGGGGCCATCCTGGAGGCTACCCGTCAAGCAACATGGCGGTTCCAATTGATGCGACCGAGCGGTGCGGAGGGGGAGGAAGAGGAGGGAAAGGAGGATGAGGAAAGCGTGGAACAAAAACACAGCACTTCACCAACGGGAGCACTTCTAGGTGATGAAGTGCATTTTTCCAATCCAGACTGGGGTGCAGGAGGAGGAGGAGGAGGAGGAGGAGGAGGAAGAGGGGGAGGGGAGTCGCAGCGCCCCTGCTGGGAGGCGGACGGTTGAACACACAGGTTCTTGGTTCGTCGTCGTCACAGTCGAGGCCGCCGGGCCGCAGCCAGCAGCCCAGGCGATGCACGACTGCAGTCGGACCGAGGCACTGTACGACTGCAGACTGCACGACCGCAGACGACGCACGACTGCACGATTGCGATGCCCATTGTTCTGGGAGGGTGCCCTGATGTTCTTCGTGTCTGTTGGATGCTCTTGTGCATCCTGGGGTAGGGTACCCTCTGTGATCTTATGATCTGGGGTGTTTTGGCCGGCGGAGGGTCTCATGTTCGTGAAGGGCGTGCTTCTGGCCTAGGTTCGGCTGGAATCGTCCTTGCCCGATCTGTTCCTGTTTAAACTGGTTGGCTCATTCGCCCCCCCGCTAGAGCGAGACAAACCGTCTCTCGAAGGATTGAAGGCCTCCGTGGGGCGCTTTTGGAACTTGGGTGTGCTCTCGGGAATCCTTTTTGGGGCTCTGTTGGGAGTCATCGGGGCCCGTCTTGGAGCTCTCGTCTGCCATCTTGAGACCATCCTGAGGTTTCGAAAGCCAATCAGAAACCACAAGACGACAAGTAGACAAAGCGTTGGACCTCCCAGGTTTGATAATGTTTTTATCCGTAGCCAGTTTTGGTTCACGCTCAGGCCGCGGGTTCGCCACTCCCTCAATCGATCGTTTTGCCAGCCTGGATGAGCCGACGTACATTTGTGCCTGTAGGTTTGGGCCAAATGAAGAGGTGCATCAGCCTGGCTTTCCTATCCTTTCTGAGTGTTAGGCTCGTGTGCCCATTCGCTTTTGGTTTAGTCCCGTCAGCTCGACTTTCTGACGTAAGAGGTGGGTGTGCGTCACGATCGTCGTTCGAACAGTGGTTAGAGGGTATGCGAGAATCATTTGCGAAGGTTGCAGGTTGGGAGGCGCCGCTGTCGCCTGCACAGGATAACCTCCCTTGCAGCACAGACGTGGGTCTGGGACTCCTGCGCCAGATGGAAGAAAGCGATGACGACTCCTTCATGGTCGCACTTCAGTCGACACTGCTCAGCTTGCGCAGCACACCGGAAGCGCCAGTGATCGCCGCGTTGGATGACACCGCCCTGCTCAAGCAGCGGATTGAAGGCGTCGTCAGGAAGGAGCGGCAGCAACAGATTTTGGCAGACCTTCTACACATTGGGACAGTCTACCGCCTGCGCAGTGAAGGCCTCGTCCTTGCCTCTGGACCTGTCGGCCAGGAGCCTGGTATTGATCAGGCTGCTTTTCATAATTCCTTGCAGATATTGCCGGCTGCAGTTGCTATGGAAGTGCGGGGCTACGTCTTGGCCACCGTGCCGGCGCTGGGTGCGGCCACGCGGCTGCAAGTGACCAGGGCCAATTTGGCGCCACTGCTCATGGGTGCAGGGCTCTACGGCTATTTCTTGGCAGGCGCCGCCCAAAGCAGCAGTGATGCAGAGGTCGCTCGGCTGGCACAGTCTGACTGGGATTCCCCGGCGGCCTTTGCGGTGATGTCGGCTCGGGTTGGAAGCTTGCTCGAGCTCCCCGCGGAAAGCGAAGACCCTCTGCAGCGGTATGCCTCGTTGAGTGCGGTGACCACGGAGGTGCAGTCTCTGCCAGGCGGCGAGGCAGGCCTGCCTACTTCGGACCTTGGGCGGCTTGAGGGGGGATGCCTGCAACTGTGCGCGGAGGGGCTGCGCAGACTCATGGGCGAGCTGTGCGCATTTGGTTTTACCATGCGCCTCTGGGAGCAGAAGATCACGAAGTTTACAAGTCCAGGGTAGCCTATCGCTGTGTGCGAGGGTCATCTCGTTGAGGGCAGCGTAAACAAATGTGTATTGAGCGATTTTTGCCGCTGGGGGGCATCCTGGGGTGTCTCCGCGGCCACCTCGAGCTGTCTCGTTGTGGTCCCAGGGCATCTTTCGAGCACTCCAGAGGCCATCTGGGTCGAGCTTGGGACATCTGGGTGCCATCCGGGAGGCTATCCTGGGTCGACCTGGATCCGTTTCCAGAAGAAAAAATGGCATACACAGAAACTTTTGACGCTTCGCGCGGATTTCTTGGATCCGCGCTGGGCCCCCCGGCGGCGCCTCGGGCGCGCCCAGGGGGGACGTGAGAGGGGGCAGGACTTCTCTGAGGGCGGCTGGGCCCCTCGGGCGCCCTCGCGCAGTCCGAGAAGCCGCCTGTGGCTTCGGAGAGAAGGCCTACACGGCTTTCCTCGGGAGGCGCGGGGGCTCCCCCGAGAAGCTTCGCCACCCGCTGAGAAGGCCTGCCTCCTCTCCCTCTCCCCCGGGGCTCGCCGTATCGCTCAGAGGTCGTGCAGGGCAAGGTGGGGAGGGCACCCCGGGCACGTTTCGCAGGCAAGGTCTGCGTTGGGGGGGCGTTCGTGGCCTCAAATGGGAGCAGCACGCGAGCAGCGTTGTGAGTTTCCGACGTCCGCAGGGAGTGAGAGAACGAGAGAGAGAGAGAGAGAGACAGGCAGAGCGATACAGTCAACCCGTATAGTAAGGATGAAACCCTGTCCCAAGGGTACTTTTGCATCCTTGCCTCCTCGGTCCATCCTTGGCCACTTTCGTTGGCCGCGCCCCGCTCGAAAAGCCTCGAAATCGGCGTCCAAGGCCCTTGCATCCTTATCGCTCATCCTGATGATACGGGCCGACTGTATTGGTAGAAAGAAGCGCACGTGGACAGAGCGAGGGAGAGAGAGAGAGAGATAGACAGAGAGACGGCGCTTCTTTGTTCTCTTTTTCTCTCTCTCTCTCTCTTTTCCTATCTCCGTCTCTCTCTCTCTTTCTCTCGTTCTTCTCATCCACCTAATCATCCTATGTGTTGATCTGAAAAAATCAAAGCAACACTATCTGTCCATATTTCCCTCTCTTCGTTATTTCGTGCGCACAAACATGCACCAGTCGCCACTTGTTAGGCTCAGTTCTGCTCTCCCCACGCGTTCAGGAGCCACAATCTGAATCCGTGCGGGCATCAGGCAGCTTGTAACAGCCAGATTTGTGTCGACCTCCAGTTCGCTGGTCTTTTTCGCTTGCCCCGCCGTCTTCAGAGGGTGCCGGGAGTCTGCGTTTGAGCCCGAACGCGTTTCGTCTGCAGTGGCAAGGTAAGATATTTACAAAGTCGACCTCGGGTTCATCCATAGCCTTTTAAATCGGGCATGTCCCTTTACAGGAGGAGTATTCAAACACAGTCAAAACATAGTCTGGGGACGATTTTTGGAGTATGTTTGGATTCTTGTATATTTTGGGGCATGTTTTAGTTTTCGTCGAAAATCCGCCTGTAGGGGGACATGCCCGACCTGACCGTAGCCGTTTCGGCGCGCAAGAGCGCATAGTTTGGGGTCGCGTGTGGCGCGACAGCGCCGCAGCGTGCCTGTCGCCGATGGCGCTGTAGCTGGCGAGGTGGGCGGCGTCTTCCGAGGAGAGATGTTGTCTCCCGAGGATCGGCGGGGAGCGAGGGGGGGAATTGAGAAGGAGAAGGCAGGGCTGGACCTAAACGGTGTTTTTGGTGGTTTCGTGGGCCGTTTTCATTTCGACTTCGTTTTGCGGTAGAGGCGGATTCGAGACAAAAGCGAGGGAAAACGAACACAAAACGGAAACGAAAAACATTGTTTAAGTTCAGCCCTGGGAGAAGGCCTTCTCAGAAGGCGGCGGGATTTCTCAGAAGCCCTCGCGCGCCTTCTGAGAAGTTGTTTTCGGCCTTCCGGGAAGGCTTCGGAAACTTCTCAGAAGGCCGGGGGACGTGCGAGCCTTCCGAGAAGGCCCGCCCCTTCTTCGGGACGACCGACATGGGTACGGAGAGAATGGGTACAATGCTCAACAGCAGCTCTTGTTCATTCTGAACAGGACTCGCTGTCGGTGTCGCCGCGGCCTGTGTCCATTTGGGACAGAAGGCCGCCTGCCCAACAGCGGCCGCTGTTGGCTTGGGACAGCATTTGTTGCCTCGTTGCCACCCTGGGCTCGCCGCCCGGGAGGAGCTCGACTCGCTCATGCACCAGCTCCAGGCCAGTGCTAAAGACCTGGCGGAGGTCGAGCGGCTCCGCAGCCTCGACGGGGGAGAGTGCTTCAAGTGCGGCAGGGCTTGCGCTCACTGCTGCGGTCCGTCATCCGAGGCCGGGAGTCATCCATACCCACCGCCTCGGAGAACAATCTTCCCAGACCTCGGAGGCCTAAGGACCCCGGATGGTCCCCACGAGTATCACCTGAAATCATTTGGAACGCATCGGAAACTGTCACCTGATTATCATCAATGGGGTTCCTCCATGTTCAACAAACCAATTACATGCACAACAAGTCAATTCCGCCGCCCCTCTGGGATCCCAGAACATCGCTTCCCTCGGTGGTGGGTGTGCACAACTCCCCGCCTCGCTCATCGAAGATGGATCCCTCAAAAAAGAAGAGCTCCAGAAGCAGTCAGGGGGGCTCCAGAAACAATCAGGGGCTCGAGGAGAAGGAGGCGGAGATTGCCAGCCTGAGGGCCAGGAAAGAGGAGCTCGAGAAGGAGAAGCTGAGCATGCTGTCCATGATCGACAAGCTGAGCGGCCAGATCGCAAAGCTGAAGGACGTGTCGCGGGCTGCCGGCCACGGCGACCTCATCGACAGCATGCTGGAGGAGTCCAAGCTCTCCGACACGATGCAGAGCGAAGAGATGTCCTGCTTCCTCCGGCTCTACGAGGACGCCGTGCGGCGCATGAAGAGGGTCCGGCGGCGACCCCGCAGGGGGGGACGCGGCGAGGGGGCGAGGCCCTCTCCTCGGGGCACGGCGGGGCCTCCATATGGGCAGCCCCCGCGCCTCCTGCGGAGCCCTGCAGGCCGGAGAGTCTCCGAGGCCGCAGAGGCGGCTCCTCGAGATAGGCGCGAGGGCGTCGACGAGAGGCCCCGCGGCGCCCTCTGGCAAGGCCTGCTGCCCCCCCAAACCTCTCCCCTCGCCTCCCCCCCCCGGGGCTCGCCGCCGAAAGGTGGAGGCCGTGGCCGCGCAGAAGCTGGCCGCCGCCGGCCAGGGCGCCTCCCAGCTGGCCCGGCAGTTCCCGGCGGTCTCCCTCGAGGCTCGGCGGGGGCCCCCCCGCGGACGGTGTGGCGCCCCCCGCGCGCGGCGAGCCCCACGGTGGGCACCCGAGGGGCCCCCCGGCGCGCGGTGCTCGGGCCCGCGGGGCCGTCCTCCGCGCGCCTCATCGGGCGCGAGGGACGGAGGCCCCCCAGGGCCCCCGTGGCACCGTGCGGCGGCGGACCCCTGCGGTGAGGCCCTTCGTGCTCGCAGGGTCGCCGAGCCTCGCAGTCCGTCACCACACCGCCCCGGGGCCCCGAGTGCCAAGATCTGGGCCTGGGGCCAGAGCAGATGGGGTCGGAGGATCGCGCCGCATCGCCGATGCACCGACGATGCGGCTCGATGCGGAGCCGAAAATTCTCCACGCCCGCGTCGCCGATGCGTCGCCGACGTCGACGATGCATCGGCGATGCATTGTCGGTGCGGCGCGATCCTCCGACCCCATCTGCTACGATCCCATCTAGGAGGCCTCTAGAAGGAAGAACGAGCAGATGCGCAAGCATAGGCTTTCGGATGTCCGCGCCGATTCCTTTGCTCGGCGCCGGGGCCCTCCCCCGGGCTGCGCCTCCGGCGCCGCCCTTGGCGCGCGCCGTGCGCCGGAGAGGGGGGTCCAGCTCCCGTCCACGAACGCCGCGCCGACCTCCGGAAGCTTCTATTTTCATGTCGGAGCCCAGGGGGGCGACATCGCAGTGACACGGAGAGCCCTCCCCACCGGGAGATCGGTTTCGGTTTTTCGCGTTCGTGCCGTGCGCCCGGGCGAGGCGAAGCTGGCGTGGGCGTGCGAAGGGAATGAGACTCCGCCGTCGCTGGGAAGGTTCGGGTGCAGTGGACCGCCCCACGGCCCCACGGTGGGGGTGCGGTGGCCCGGGGTGTCCTCGCCGTGGTGCCCTGTGGTGGTGTCCCACTGGTGTCCCGTTTGGTGTCCCCTCGGTGTTCCGTGGGCGGTGGGCGGGCGGTGGCCGGAGGTGTCCCGTCTTGGGATCGATAGTGCAGTCGATGGTGAGGTAGACGCTGGGATCGCTAGAATGGGATGGAGACGTAGTGAGATCGACAGTGAGGGTCATCGTGTAATTGGTTGTGAGATAGAAAGGGGGGACGATAGTGACATTACATCGCAGCGCAACGTCGCCATCACGCGTCGTCGCTCACTCGAGGGCCAGCACCAGCATCGTCATCATCACACTCATCGCATTTGCCAGCAGTTGGTTCGTTCCCCCTCCACCAACCAACCTCCTTATCACCCGAAGGGTGGTCGTATGGAAAGTCCTAGTTCTTCGGGGGTGTCCAACAGTGGGGTGAGGGCCATTGAGGGTGGGAGGGGGTAGATATCATGGCTGGGGCCATGAACTCTCCCAGATCCCATGGCCCTCTCTTCTTCCTTCACTGCGTTCCCCTGCCCACCCTCGTCCGCGCACGTGCCTCGGGCTATGCTGCTCGAACTCCCCTCTTCCCAGTCCCCCTCTTCCCAGGCGTCCTCCATCGCGATTCTGTTCGCAGCGTGGCTCCCCAGCGCTCTGGACCCCATGCCCGGCACCCGCCTCTCCGTCCGAGCAGCTTCCTCTGGGACGGCCCCCCGGGGGGCTCGGCGTGAGGGCGCCCGGGGGCCGCAGACAGCCAAAGAGCTTCCGTACACGGCAGCTTTTTCACGACGCAGCGGGGCTTGGGACCGGGGGTCGACGTCGACCCCCGGACCTCTCCAGGGGCGCGTTCTGACCAGACTGTCGAGGGGAGGCCAGCCGCTTCGACGGGAGGCCGTGCCGAAGATCTTGTGGCCGATCCTACGTGCTTGTCCCTCGGGTCGCGAGGATGGCAGGGTCTTCGGCGCCCGCGATTCTTCTACCGGCCCAGCAGCTCGAGCCCCCTCTTCCCTGCCCCCCCCTCCTCGGCGCACCCGATTCTCCCAGCCATCCTCCGATCTGTTTTTTTGTTGTTGTCAGTCCGCGGTCGCAGAGCTCCCGACCATTTCCCCAGGGCCAGTCTTCCGTCCCAGACGCCTCTCTGGTGGTCCTGGGGCCCGGTTGCAGAAAGCGTGGGGAGACGCCAGACTTGAACACACACCATCGCCGAACCCCGAGACCCGCCGCCGCTAAGAATGCAGGCATCGCCGCCGAGCATCGACTGGAGCCTGGATCCCATCTCTCTCTCTCTCTCGATCCCTGCACTTCCCGAGCTGGACTTTATCCGCGACGGGGGGCCTCCGGCCTCGACAGAGGGCGAGGCAGCCCGTCGTGGAAGCACATCTCGCGGCGCCAGGACTGCAGGCACGCCGCCTCCTCCACGGGCCCGGCAGCCCGAGCCGCCGCGCCCCTGGCCTCTGCCGGCCTCCCCGCGGGGCCCCCGAGGCCCCGCGGCGGGGCCCCCGAGGGGGGGCCACCAGCGGCGAGGAAGGCCCGCGATGTGCCTCGCCGCGCCGGGGGCCGGACGGGGGATGCCTCGAGCGGGGGCCCGGGCCCCCCGCCGAGGCATGGACAGAGATCACGACGGGAGGCGCTTCCCTGCCTTCGGCCTCGGGGGGGCCCCCACCGGGCCTCGGGGCCGTCCACGCGAACGAGTGAGGGTGAGACTCCGGTCCAGGGGGCATGGGTCCAGACCTCTTGGGGTGGGCGTCATGAAAGAGTCCTCGCGTCGGGGGCCGGGGGGCGGGGAGGGGGACCACCCCTGGCCCCTCGCCCCGGTTGAGGTGGTGGTGTGGCCTTGCCTCGTGCCTACCTGGAGGCCCACAGCAGCTGGTTCCGCCGTGATTCTGTTCTCAGCCGTGGCCCCCCAGAGGTCCGAACCCCTTCCCCAGGACCGGCTTTCCGTCCCGAGCTGTGCTCTGACGGTCCTGGGACCCAGTGCGTGCCCCCAGAGGCCGAAGCATTTGCCAAAAGCCTTCCGTCGTGATTTGTTCGATTCTTCGACAGGCCACGACCCCCAGTAAAGCATACGCTACAGCGGCTACGGTGCACATGGCCGTGCTCTCACCCGTGTCACACCGCCACAAAAAGCTCACTACCTTAGGAATACCTGGGCATGCCTCGGAAGGCATGGTTCCACTCGCCGGCTTCCCACTCCTCTATCCGCCCCTTCACCTCGTGCTGCTATTGGGGTTCTTCGCTGGGGACTCTTTCTATTCTTCGACAGGCCCAGCCGCTCGGGCCGCCGCACCAGTGGCCCCCAGGGGCCAAACACGGCCAAAGACCTTGCGCCGCGCTTTTTTGTTGCTCGCGGCGCGCGCACGTCTGGGGAGAAGCGAGCGTGCGGGCGGAGCCGACCGACCTGAGGCGTCTTGGGCTATCTTGAGCCATCTTGGAGGTCACCTTGGGCTCTCCGAGGCCCTCTTGGAGCCAGCTCGGGCGCACAAGTCCCCTCTGGCACCCCGCGGGGCGCCCCGCCCAGGTCCACGGGAGGGGGCTCCGGGCGAGGAGTACTTTCCTCCCCGAAGGGGAAGAAGGGGGGGTGGAAGAGGAACCTCCCTACGGTAGGTCTGTGACGTGCCGACCGTGGGCGACCCCGCCGCCGGCGTTCAACGTTGAATGCCGCTGGCGACCCAGAATCAGTCGATGTTGAACGATCGGACGTTCTGGAAACGGCCGATCGTTCAAGGTTGAACGATCCCCGCGGTATCAGGGACCAACACCCACGCCCAGAGGACTGGTGGGGCTCAACCGGAGACACAGGCCCTGTCTCTCTCTGCGGCACTCTGCGCGCCGGATCGATCTGCGGTGGCCCCGGGGCCCGACGCAGGGCAGGATCGCCCGCGGTGAAGGCATCGCGCCGTGATCCCCAGACCCTGGACTATGGACCCTCCTCCTCCTCCTCCTCCTCCTCCTGTTCCTCCTCCTCCTTCTCCTCCTCCTCCTCCTCCTCCTCATCCTCATGATTTTTCCCAACCATCCTGTGGTGTTGGGTCCTCGTTTTGAAGAGACGGTGCCCGCGTCCTCTCCTCTCCTCCTCTTCCCCCTCCTCCCTCCTCCCCCTCCTTGCCTCTGCTCTCGGCACACCTCTCACGCGTTTCGTAGCCCCATAGGGAGCTCCACCGAAGGCCCCAGTGGGGGTGTTCGCATGCGGTTCCCCCACCCAGGGCAGCGTTTCGTGGCCCCATAGGGAGCTCCACCGAAGGCCCCAGTGGGGGTGTTCGCATGCGGTTCCCCCACCCAGGGCAGCGTTTCGTAGCCCCATAGGGAGCTCCACCGAAGGCCCCAGTGGGGGTGTTCGCATGCGGTTCCCCCACCCAGGGCAGCGTTTCGTGGCCCCATAGGGAGCTCCACCGAAGGCCCCAGTGGGGGTGTTCGCATGCGGTTCCCCCACCCAGGGCAGCGTTTCGTGGCCCCATAGGGAGCTCCACCGAAGGCCCCAGTGGGGGTGTTCGCATGCGGTTCCCCCACCCAGGGCAGCGTTTCGTGGCCCCATAGGGAGCTCCACCGAAGGCCCCAGTGGGGGTGTCCACATGCGGTTCCCCCACCCAGGGCAGCGTTTCGTGGCCCCATAGGGAGCTCCACCGAAGGCCCCAGTGGGGGTGTTCGCATGCGGTTCCCCCACCCAGGGCAGCGTTTCGTGGCCCCATAGGGAGCTCCACCGAAGGCCCCAGTGGGGGTGTTCGCATGCGGTTCCCCCACCCAGGGCAGCGTTTCGTAGCCCCATAGGGAGCTCCACCGAAGGCCCCAGTGGGGGTGTTCGCATGCGGTTCCCCCACCCAGGGCAGCGTTTCGTGGCCCCATAGGGAGCTCCACCGAAGGCCCCAGTGGGGGTGTTCGCATGCGGTTCCCCCACCCAGGGCAGCGTTTCGTAGCCCCATAGGGAGCTCCACCGAAGGCCCCAGTGGGGGTGTCCGCATGCGGTTCCCCCACCCAGGGCAGCGTTTCGTGGCCCCATAGGGAGCTCCACCGAAGGCCCCAGTGGGGGTGTTCGCATGCGGTTCCCCCACCCAGGGCAGCGTTTCGTGGCCCCATAGGGAGCTCCACCGAAGGCCCCAGTGGGGGTGTCACATGCGGTTCCCCCACCCAGGGCAGCGTTTCGTGGCCCGGGAGCTCCACCGAAGGCCCCAGGGGGTGCCCTCGCATGCGGTGGGCAGCGTTCGTGGCCCCATGGGGAGCTCCACCGAAAGCCCGTGGCGCAGTTCGCATGCGCTTCCCCCACCCAGGGCAGCGTTTCGTGGCACCATAGGGAGCTCCACCGAAGGCCCCAGTGGCGCAGTTCGCATGCGGTTCCCCCACCCAGGGCAGCGTTTCGTAGCCCCATAGGGAGCTCCACCGAAGGCCCGCCCCGGTGGCGCAGTCCGCATGCGGTTCCCCCTATCCAAGGCAGCGCTTCGTGGCCCCATATGGAGCCCCACCGAAAGCGGCACCCACAACGCGTTACCAACAATTGCTTATGGTTGAGTCTTTCGCCAGGATAATTTTGATGGCGTTGACCCCCAGCTGTCTCGACCCTTTCCCGATGACCCGTTATTCTTCATCTCGAGTCGTTTCGTTGACGGTCCCGAGGCCCAGCGGTGGCCCCCAGAGGCCCATAACGAAAAACTTCCCGTCGTGTTTTTGTTCATGACTCGAGGGGGTCTGGGATGCATCGTCGGCTTCGCATCCAGCCGAACCGCCTGCTGCATCGGCGAGGCTGAGCCGTCCTTCGGCCCCAGCTGCTCGGGCCCCACATGCGGGAGTCTCTCCTCCTCCTCCTCCTCCTCCTCCTCCTCCTCCTCCTCTTCCTCATCATCATCATCATCATCATCATCATCATCATCATCATCATCATCATCATCATCATCATCATCATCATCATCATCATCATCATCATCATCATCATCATCATCATCATCAGCATCAGCATCAGCATCAGCATCAGCATCAGCAGTCCTTCGCCAGGCCCAGCAGCCCTCCGGCCCCTCCGAGTGGCCGGACAGCCCCGCCAGCCCCGGCGGCAGGGCGGGGGGGCGGCAGGGCGGCGGCCCTGCGGAGGGCCGCTACGCCCGGCTGCCCCGGCTGCTGCAGGGGCTGGACTGTGGAGCCCCGCGGGGCGGGCGGAGCTCCTCGGGG